GGGAGGGGGAGGGGGGGAGCTTAGAATACCAACCAATAAAATTCTTAATAACTGTAAAAACCATGATGAACACTTAGAACCTGTTTGGTCCATGTTGAGGAATGAAAATGAATTTTCATTTCTCCTAGTTTAACCAAGAATGAAATTTTGGGTTTCTGAATGAATGAATCCATTATATTATAGAAAACCAAACAGTTTCTTTTATTCTCATTCTCATTGATTACCGTCTAATAATTTTGATCAAACACCCTTTATGTTATAAAATCATTGAGATATTTATAAAAGATGATACAACTCATTTATTATGATCACTGTTTTAAATCAAGAAACAATAAAAATATTTATGAAACCAGCTACTCATTAGGTTAGCCGACTGCTTAAAATCAGCTTCTATACAAATTGACAATATATTTGGTTAATTTGATTAAAATGAAGTGTTTAATATGATTAATTATACAAATTTAAATACACAACTTATAATTTTATGTGTAATAGTTGATAAAAAAAACAATGTTAAAATACAATAACCTTTTCATTATATTTATTTAAAAATACCCTTTGCATTTTTTCATGTTTTTTTTACTCCTTTTTGCATTTTATCGTAAATTACAAGTAATATATTAAGTTGGAGTTAAAATGCATATATAGATAAAATAGTCAGAAAAATATACTATATTATAAAATATTTGACAAAAACTCTTAAAAACTATTTTTTTATTTATTAAATATTGTTTATTGGTGTATATTACTTAAAATTTAAGATTACAAGTAAATTGTGCATATGTACAATTTATTAAAGCTTCATATTTGAATTTGTGTAACTAGCTATAGATAAACATTATTAAATAGAGGATAAACATCTTATTTTAAATATAAAAAAATCTAAAATATAATTAGGATAATCATTGATTTCTAACAAAATATTTAATTATTATCTTTATAAAAAATTATACTATTAAACCAAAAATAAAAAAATGAACTAAAGAAATTACCCAAATTTTTTTTTAATTGTTAGTTTAGTACTAATATCAATATTTTTGTTAAATTTTATAATATCTTCATATTTATATTTTATTAAAAAATAAAAACATTATCGTTTTCTCAAAACCATATAAAACCGTATTATAACATCAACTAAGACAAAAAAAAAAACAGAACATTAAAATCGAAATGTATTTCGCTACATTACGTCAGTACCATTCTGGTTTAATAAAACAACATTTACCAAAAATCATTAAAAAATTGATTGATTGGTTTAAGATAAGATTTAACATGGCCATGAAAGGGATGGATGGTTTATTAAAAAATAAAAAATAAAATAAGTACACATGCACAATTATATGACTATCAATTCTTCTTAAATAACTATTCAAGATTTAAATTCCTTTTTACCATAAATTTTGAATTCTTTTAAAATTAAATTTTAGAAAAAATATATGTTAATCTGTGATTTTAAATAAAT